TAAGAGTGTATCGTGGTGAATTCATGTGATTAAAGGGGACATCGGATGCCCCCCTTACGAAAATTAGCCATGGTTTTATTGTAGTAAAAGTGTAGTAACCATGTTTTTTTGGCATATTGATTACCATTTGTATAACCACAGTTTTACTACAAATACCATGGTTAAACTATAGTTAGTGTAGCAAAACCATGGTTAATCTGTAGTTACCATGGTTTAACAGTAGTAACCATGGTTTTTTGGTTGTATTTTTAGTAAAATCATGGATCATTTTCGTAAGGGACATTTTCCACAAGTTGGATAATGATCCTTTAGGATATTCATGAAATGTCTGCTAAATACATTAGTTAAAATTCCTTAATGATTGTGTAAAACAATAACCTTTTTACCTTGTCATAAATATTTCTGTATACGGCGACATGTTTCGGTGCATGTCTCTTTAAATGTTAATGAGCTATTCCTCACCCGTTTTTTGTGTATTCAGTGGCACATTACCATCAAAAACAAAATTAACCGTGTCCTCAGTGGCTCATATGTCAGGAGAAAATAAAGACTCTTATGTTCACTTTTACATGCAACTACAAAACACCTGCATTGCCTATGAGACATGGCTGAGGGCGGAAATATGCTAATACGGGACAGTCCATCAGCGGCCGTAGGCGGGGCCTGAGCAGTATGATGTCATACTGCTCAGAAAATCAAAACGGCTTGATAATTGAGACTGTTTAGGTTTTTTGGGGATTAAAAAAGAGGAGTGAATGGATTTTTATCATTGTAGGGTGGTTGTGTCCACACACTGCTAAGACATATTTATATGCAAATACAACATAAAAGTGAATTTTGCATCCGATGTCCCCTTTAAGGATTTTGTTGTCAATAACAAAGCTGTACATGGATCCATTTTGCTGTTGCCATGGAAACAAATCATTTCTGACTCAGAGAATATGAACAACTCTGAGTAGCTGTTGTCTCGTAATTATGGTAGCCCTCACATAAGATTAATGCAGCATTATATTTACAACAGATTGCAGAACAGAGCTTCTTTCTAGAATCTCTGCTGCAGAGCTGCTTCCCTGTGATGCCTTTTTCATAATGTTTACTGTTCAGTGTTCAGTCTGAAATGTAATACTTTGCACTTTGAACTTTCATGACCTACATGGATATATTTAGGTAGGGGCCGCATCTCATATTTTGCAGTGTTCTGGCTCCAGATTTGTTATACCCCTGTTGAAAAAAACCAACACATGCAGGTTAGGTATGTTTTGAAGCATTGGCAGCTGGTTTGCGCTGGATTAAGCTGGTCCTAAATTGGTCATGAGCTGGTCCTGAGCTGGTTATAAGCTGGTCCTGAGCTGGTTTAAGCTGGTCATGTGCTGGTCCTAAGCAACTAGCTCCTGCTCAGGACCAGCTCATAACCAGCTTAAACCAGCTCATGACCAACTAAGGACCAGCTTACACCATCTCAAACCAGCAGCCATGCTTCAAAACATACCTAACCAGCATATGCTGTTTTTTTCAACAGGGGCATAACTGTTTTAAAAAGAGTTCAAATCTCTTTGAATTCAGTCATTTTTTGGTTTCGTTATGATTGGCCCACTTCAGGTCTGGAGTCCAAGAGCATCCCTGACAAACACCCAAAGAAGAGTGTCACTCACGCCCAGAGGGAGCAGCAGCAGTGCTGGTAGGAGAGGAAAGAGCATTGCACAAGGACACGTGACTAGGACTAGAAACATGGGTTACATCCTGATTTTGACTGGTGGTGGAGGACTGGCGTCTCAGAGCCCCCTGAAAGGAAGTCCCGCTCTTGAACGTGTTCACTACCTCGATCTGCAGGAACGGGGAGAGAAATACATGGAGCAATGCTTCATCACATGGACATGGTTTAGAAGACTATGACAGGCCCTCATCACACATTAAACACTTCATCTGAAATTAGCACTGAGGCTTTGATGGCTTTAGAAAGGTCCTCCTCCCCGCTGTTGCAGCTTTGACAGCAGTCCTGATGAATGCCCAGAGACCCTCGAGAGCCTTGCCGCAGGACTGCATAAGAGTACTGTTATCATATCATATGACAAACAACAGGCCATAGCAATTCACCGTAAATGATCTGCATGCCACTACCAAAACTCTGTCGCATGCAGCGCATTATACAACAGTTAGTGCTGCTCCTCTAATCTGATTGGACAGATGGCATTCCGTTAGTGCAGATATTTAGAATATGGGACGTTTTTCCCTTTTCGCTACTTGTCTGTGTTCGTAGTGTTCCAGATCAGTGTATGTGAGTGGAGCTGTACGATTTTGCCTGGACCGAGAAGCAGTGGAGCGGAAGTGAAGTTACAAAAGTCTTTGAGCACGTAGGGCCAATCTCTTTCACTCCACTCATATACACTAATCCAGTCTGTGTGTTGCTTTGATGGTTGAGACTGTTTTCAACAATGTAATAAACTGGACAACTTTGTCTCAAACATCATTAAACTGTTGTATAAAAGCATCACGACACTCACAAAAGACAATCACAGCCGTGATGCTATTCAGAACAGCATCGTGCTTGTGAATGTGATATTGCTTAAGGACATGATTTTAGACTGGAGTGAAATATTATTGCAGGAATGGCGTATGAATGATCTGAGTGGGGGCGATGTAAACATATTGGCTTTGCTCAGTGAAAAAGTCGTTCTAACTAACTTTAAAAAAATCGTTTCCAGTGTAGGCTCGGGTTTAGAAATGCAATTATGTTGTTCCTAAAATTTTACAGCACCCAGAATCATACTTAAGTTTTATCTTGAGGTTGTCATTGTAATGTAGATCTAATTATGCAAAACGCTATTCAATAAATGACTGTTTGGTTGGAATACAAAAGTGTTTTTCATGAAAGGTGTACTGACAGCCCATGATCAATGCAACAGTACTGAAGTCTTGCGATCAGCGCTGATGTTTGTGCTAGTAATGGCATTTGGCAGAGCTGCGGTTCAACCTCCGCATTGTTCTAAATCTGTCCGTAAAACACACTGCCAGCCATGCAGATGGTTGAATCTCAAGTACATAATTACAAACACAGCTGATGTTCCAGCAGAAGTATAGCTAATTCCCACAGATGCCATTCGCAGAATTCATGCTGAATATTTCATGCGGAAACTTTCGTAGCTTCCCAAAGGCTGTCAGAGGTGCTAACCTGAGTCTGGATTCTGTTGAGGCCTCTGAACCAGAGGATCTGCCCTCGCCGCAGCTCCCTCTCAGCGTGATCGATCTCCTCCTGGTCCTCGTTCATCTCCTCCTCGTGCATTTCATCCTTCTTTGACAGCTGACCAGCCCCTCTGAGGAACCTCAGCTTGCTGTTTGGGATTGTTGAGATAACCTGACCCAGAGCAGGACACACGTGTATGGATATTAGAACCCCTGATAGCAACAGACTCCGGGGCGGATCCGCCCTCAAGTCGGCAGCTCCGCTGTACTGTCAGACTCTGTTCGGTCATTCGCCCAGAATCTGCCCCGCCTCCGGACAGCGCGCTGTCAGCTAGCGGACTCATGATGGACACGGCGCGGATTAGCGATCCGAACGCGGGGTTTTTTGTTTTGTTTTTAACCGGTGCGTCTCAGAAATCCTCCTCAGAGTGGAGAAGCTGCGGCCGGCCAGGTTGAAGAAGACTGAACTCGGTAAGAATACTTTTAAAATATGCTTTATTTGTACAGTTGCCAGTAACATTAACGTTAATAAAGTTGTTAATTGCTTTGTTGTAGTTTTGAATTTTTGAAATTGCGTTGTGGAATGTCCAGTTAAGGTTAGCTCTTCAGCATTATTAGCATTATCATAGATTTGAGTA